GACAATTTATAAACTAGAAGATAGAGCTGAAAATTTACTCAGAATGCAACACAAATCGATAAAGAAAATTTGAGAGGTGTAAGAGACAAAATAAAAAGGCCAAGGGGTTATAATTGATATCTATTGCTTCCTTTTCCTATGAGCCATTCCGTCTTTCCTTTGCCTTCAGCCAGAACCCCAGCTGGTTATTAAGTGAGATGACCTCACTTTAATTCCCAAAGGATCTGAATCCTTAATAGTTCTTTTATTAATTGCTCTAGTTTTGTTGTTGTTGTTGTTGTTGTTTATTTTTTGTTTTTGTTTTTGAGATACAATCTCACTCTGTCAACCAGGCTGGAGTGTGGTGGTGGCACAATCTCTGCTCACTGCAACCTCCACCTTCTGGGTTCAAGAGATTATTGTGCCTCAGCCTTCTGAGCAGCTGGGATTACAGGTATGCGCCACTACGTCTAGCTAATTTTTGTAATCTTAGTAGTGACAGGGTTTTACCCTTTTGATCAGGCTGATCTTGGGCTCCTGGCCTCAAATGATCTGCCTGCCTCGGCCTCCTAGAGTGCTGGGATTACAGGTGTGAGCCAGTGTGCCTGGCCTATTGTAGTTTTTTATTAACAAATATTATTGGTCATGGAAATAGTAAGAGGTGTTCCAGAGAGTCTCTTCGGTTCCAGGCCTTGTTGCTCCTATTACGTTTCAGCAACTCACTTTTCCCTTGGTAATCAGGATCGGTCACTTTTAGCCAGTAAACCCCTTCTTTGCCTATTGTTTCATTGATAGGAAGAACACAAAATGGCCAGGTGGCAGTTTCATCTTCCAATTCAATGGAACCATTGTTGTTTTCCTCTGATGGATGCATTTCGCCCTTGAGAACTAACCAGCAGCCAGAGTTTAAGTCGTAGATTGGGAATCAAAAATTATGTGACTGGATTATTACTTAAAGTATTGAGAGGAGCCACTCCTACTTCTACCCCTTGATTCCTAGACTGGATATTTTGGTTATGGTGGAGACATATGGTCTCATTATTGTATCCTGTAAGGCAGAACCCCATCCTTTCAGAGTCTTGTCTCCCAACTTTTCTGTTAGACCATTTATTAGGTTTCCTATTAGGCCATCTATTTCTGGGTGTATACTGAAAGACCATTTGAGCCCATTGCTTTTACTGCGTTTGCTGTGAAATGAGCTCCTTGATCAGAAGCAAGCTTGTATAGAATACCATGATAGTGGATAAGGCATTTCAGGTGATGGTGGTGCTAGAGAAGCATTGTGGGTAGTAGAGGTACATCCGTATCAAGAATGCTTTTATTCCAGGGAGGACAAATTGCTGCCCCCTGCCTAATAGAAGGCGTCTAACACAATCTGCCAGTAGGTAGCTGGCCAGTCCCAAGGGATAATGGTACCTTATCTGGGATTCAGTGCTAGTCTCGCTGCCTGGTGAGTAGCTGCATTATCAGATGTGTAGCTGCATGCCAGGTGCTAGAGGCTATATTGGTTTTCCTCATTGAAAATGCTGTATCCAGAATAGCAGCTGCCATCATGGAGACCACCTAGTTTATACCAATTCTGTTATTTGCCAAGATTCATCCAACTTCTGCATAAACAAATGAGTTAAGAGAAGGTGTGGTAGATATCCTATCCCTTTGTCTTTAAAGTCTATGATTGTTGTACTAATTTCTGCAATTCTATCTTGATAAAGAAAAGTTCCAGGAACTTCTTCCTATCATCATGTTTCTTACCTATGGGTCAGAATCACTGGAATCTACCAGTGGCCTAGTAGGTCTATTCCAGTCATACATCTTGGAACTGAGAAAGGAATCATAGGATTAATTTGTGGACCAACTGGGTCTTCTGTGGGTCTAATCTGGGCTGATACTTCATCTATCACATGAATATAATAAATCTGTAGTTGGACTGCTGAACCACAACGGTGCCTGGAGTTTCCAGAAGTTTGCCACTCCTAGGGAAGAAGATTAAAAGCATGAGAGGGACTAGGAATGAGCAAGTTTCTCCATTGCTGACTTTGAAGATAGGGAGAAGAGTAGTCTCAAGGAGCTAAAAGCAGACCACAGATGACAGCCAGCAAGGAAATGGGAACCTCAGTCTTAAAACGACAAAGAACTGAATGCTGCTCCAACCAAGGGAGCTTGAACGTGAGCTTGAGAAAACAGCCTTGCTGACACCTTGCATTTAGCCTTAGGAGAGCCTGACAGAGAACCTATACACATCATGCTTGGACTTCTAACCTACAAAACTGTGAGCTAATAAATGGGGTTTCTTTAAGACACTATGTGTCTGGTAATTTCTTATACAATAATACAAATCTAATATACAAAAGCCAGTGTCTAGTAACCTTTGCAAAGTCTGAATATTTCCTTTTCCCCATTGCACACTCACTCTAGTAAATAAACATCAGGCCCTTTGAGGAAGCATTAGAGGAGTATCTACAGTATATACTTGTGGCAGTGCTGCAGGAACCATCCAAAAGCGAGCCCAGCTTCCACTTCAGTCAGGGGTCTCTGGGTATTTGAAATAGCCTAGGTATGGAAACTGGTGAGGGGTTGTGACTCTGTTGTAGTGACTAATATCAAATGTTTGGCTACCAGACCTGGAGTTTTTTTCTGTTCCATCAATCAAGCAATATTTTTTTTAGGTTGTCCATTTCTGTCTTTCCTAGGGATAACCATGATCAATTAACCACAGCCAAAATCTCTGTGGGCAAAAACATCTTCCCTATTGCCTTTTATGGTAAATGTACCCACCTTGTTTTGATGGTTAAGTGCTGCCATCTGGCCCTTCTGTTCCAAGGATCATTGAATATGCATTGCAATCAGTGAACCCATCTCAATGGCTACATCTCTCATGGCCATTCCTGGCCTTCATTGGAGAATAAACATAGAGTTTTTTAAGGATGTAGGTGCTCTCCTCACTAACTTAATTCTGGATGCCTTAATGAAGGGAGTATTTTCTAGGCCCCCTCAGGGGGATATAATCGGTGTTGGAGAGGCATAAGAGTGGTCCCTAGGCACTAAAAGTAGGTCCCAGATGGGTTGACCCACATGGATAGATGAAATTTATTTGGAAAGAGGAATAGAAATACGATTTTAGTTTCGAATGCAATCTTAGGTCATAGAAAATACAAGATATAAATAGATTATAAAAGTTAAGAAAGTGAAGGTTGTGTAAAGGATTAGGGATAGAGATGAATCTTGGAAACATCCTATAGAAGGAAATTCTCTAGGAGAAACAGAGAGTGAATCATGAAGCAGTGCCAGACAGGACACAAATACTAAAGGTTAGGTGAAGACAACAGCAAGACAGTATAGCAGTAGATAAAGCAAGGAGTGGGAGAACTATGAGAAAGAATACGTTGCTAATAATTCTTTGTTATTAAATAATTTTTATCATCACTTTATTGAATGCTGTGTCTCTTGGCATTTCCATGTTTCATTTAATCTTTACAACCACTTTATGAGGGAGTTGGTATTTCCATTTCATCTGTGAAAGGTGTAGAAGAGTTAAAAAAAAAAAAAAAGGAAAGGAAAAACACTTGACTAAAATCATACAGCTAGTTAATGGGGAAAGGATTTGAACCCAAATCTGGCTGGTTCCAATGAACTAAGTTGTGACCTTAGAAGAAAAATTACAGAGTAGTATTTTAAAATGTATGTGTGACACAACCACATATATCTAGATATACCTAGTATTTTTAACAACATAATTTGCAAGTCTTAATCTCTTCTTGTAATACCTTTCTTGGAAAAGTAATGAAGTGTAGTGGGAAATTCTAATCCTGTTTCTGACCTAACTGTATAACCAGAAACATTTCTTAATAGCTTTTTAAAATTGAGATATTTATATGCCATAAAATTTATCTCTTTAAAGTGTGTAATTCCATGTTTTTAGTTTATTCACAAGGTTTGTACAACCATCATGACCAATTCTGGAACAATTTTATCATCCTGGAGATATATCTCATACCCATTAGCAATCACTCTCCATCGCCTTCTGCTCAGCCCATGGCAAGCATTAATCTACTTTCTATCTGTGTGGATTTCCTGATTCTGGACATTTCATATAAATGGAATCATACACTGTTGGGTATTTTGTGTCTGGTTTCTTTCACATAATGTCTTCAGAGTTCACCCATGTCATAGCATGAATTAGTACTTCAGTTTCTTTATGGCTGATTCTATTGTGTATTTATATACACACACATGCATGTACACCACAGTTTATCTGTTCTTCGATGGACATTTGGATTGCTTTCGCTTTCTGGCTATTATAAATGCAAGTTAGTTTGTGTATACAAGTTTTTGTGTGAACATATGTTTTCAGCTCTTAGGTATGTGCCTATGAATGGAACTGCTGAATCATATGTTTAATCTTTTGAGAACTGCCAGCTATTTTCCAAATACCAGAAAGTCTATACCATTTCATATTTTCACTCTTAGTGGCTCTTTACATTTTATTTATTCATTTATAAAAAGAAAGGGTATGGCCAGGCGCGGTGGCTCAAGCCTGTAATCCCAGCACTTCGGGAGGCCGAGGCGGGTGGATCATGAGGTCAAGAGATCGAGACCATCCTGGTCAACATGGTGAAACCCCGTCTCTACTAAAAATACAAAAAATTAGCTGGGCATGGTGGCGCGTGCCTGTAATCCCAGCTACTCGGGAGGTTGAGGCGGGAGAATTGCCTGAACCCAGGAGGCCGAGGTTGCGGTGAGCCGAGATCGCGCCATTGCACTCCAGCCTGGGTAACAAGAGCGAAACTCCGTCTCCAAAAAAAAAAAAAAAGGGTACGTGAGGTTTTGTGGGGGGTAGAATGAAAGGAGTATGTTACACAAAAGTATCTTTTCCTATCAAGTTCTAAGTATTACATATAACAGGTTTTTTTTTTTTTTTTTTCCTAGAAATTCTAGGGGAGCAAATGGGAATAATTATTAAAAATTCACAAGTCAAAACTTTTTTATCTTACTGATTGACAGTTCTGTTTTACTTCTTATAGAGAAGCTCGCGGAGGCTCAGCGCAGGTTTGCTACACTTCAAAATGAGCTTCAGTCATCGCTGGATGCACAGAAAGAAAGCACTGGTGTTACCACGCTGCGACAACGCAGAAAGCCAGTCTTCCACTTGTCCCATGAGGAACGTGTCCAACATAGGAATATTAAAGATCTTAAACTGGCCTTCAGCGAGTTCTACCTCAGTCTAATCCTGCTGCAGAACTATCAGGTACTTAGATTCTTACTGTAGAAAATGACACCTTTAAGTAAATGAGAAGCTTCAACAAATGGAAATACCTTAATGTATACCAGTAGGTCAATTCCAAACAGAAAAATTCTTAACATGTTGTTATTCTTGGGGTTCTTATTGGCTAAAAACCATGCATCAGAGGCAGTAAAACTGTGTTAATAAGACTTCTATTTTTGAAGATTCATATTCTAAAAACTTTTGTATAATATTTAGGATTTAGGAGTAGCCCACAACTCAAGGACTAACAGTTTGCTTCCTGCTTTTAGACGCAGCTCTGATAGTCATGAATAGAAATAATATGTCTCTCCAACCACTGTTGGCTATGTAAGGGCTTTTTTTTTTTTTTTTTCCTTTTTTGAAATAGCGTCTCACTGTGTTGCCCAGGCTGGCCTGCAATGGCACAATCTTGGCTCACTGCAACCTCTGTCTCCTGGGTTCAAGCAGTTCTCCTGCCTCAGCCTCTTGGGTAGCTGAGACTACAGGCACATGCCACCATGCCCAGCTAATTTTTTTGTTTTTAGTAGAGATGGGGTTTCATCATGTTGGCCAGGCTGTTTCTGAACTCCTGATCTAAAGTGATCTGCCTGCATTGGCCTCCCAAGTGCTGGAATTATAGGCCTGAGCCAATGCTCCCAGCCAGTAAGAACTTTTATATTCTTCCTAACCAATAGCAAAATTTCTACAAAAGCTATCAGACAGATAATTTATGCAGCTGACACTAATAAAACAAAGACCCTGACTTTTCAACTTGCAACTGAAAGAATCCTTCCAATTTTTTTGTCCATGGGCTGCAATAAAATTGCATTTTAAAAACGTTATTGAGAAAAGCATCACCCTGATCTTTAGAGTGACCTTATGCACTGTTTTTTCATTTTATTTTTTAAATTAATTATTAATTTTAATTTTTTTTTTTTGAGGCGGAGTTTCGCTCTCGTTACCCAGGCTGGAGTGCAATGGCGTGATCTCGGCTCACCGCAACCTCCGCCTCCTGGGTTCAGGCAATTCTCCTGCCTCAGCCTCCTGAGTAGCTGGGATTACAGGCATGCGCCACCATGCCCAGCTAATTTTTTTTTTTGTATATTTAGTAGAGACGGGGTTTCACCACGTTGACCAGGATGGTCTTGATTTCGACCTTGTGATCCACTTGCCTCGGCCTCCCAAAGTGCTGGGATTACAGGCTTGAGCCACCGCGCCCGGCCTTAATTTTTTTTTTTTTTTTTTGAGATGGAGTCTCACTCTGTCGCCTAGACTGGAGTACAATGGTGTGCTCTTGGCTCACTGCAACCTCTGCCTCCTGCGTTCAAGTAATTCTCCTGCCTCAGCCTCCCAAGTTGGTGGGATTACAGTTGTGCACCACCATGCCTGGCTAATTTTTGTATTTTTAAGTAGAGACCAGGTTTCACCATGTTGGTCAGACTGGTCTCAAACCCCTGGCCTCGTGGTCCGCCTGCCTCAGCCTCCCAAAGTGTTGTAATTACAGGCATGAGCCACCATGCCCGGCTCATTTTATTCTTGTGATTATTACTTATAATGAGTGGTTAGGATCAGCATAGGATGATATACTATATTAAAACTAAAAGTTGTGCAACAAAAGTATTACCTTGAGTATTTGAATTTTAAAATAAAAAGTAATTAAAGTCCCATATCTTCGGTAATCTTAAATTGTTAATGCATATGCTTATTTTTATCTTTTTTTTCTATAATTCCACTTTGTTCTTTAGTGATTTAGTATTTTATCATTTGAAGACAAATCTAGTAAGAAAACAATTTAATAGAAAAATAATTGCATATATTTATATAGTCATAAATACCTTTGCTTTAAGATTTGTTCATTGCTGTATAATTTAAAAAACAAAAACAAAATGTATTTTCTCTTTCCTTTAATGGTATAACAACATTAACATCTCATAGTTCATAAACTATGTTTGTGTGTTACATGGAAAAATGTTTGTTAAATTTTATTGTGTTAACAACTTTTGTTCAGGTCATTATAAAATGCTCCTTGGGAAAACAAAAACAATTATAAAAGTTCTGCTTTATCTTGTATTCTTTGTGGGTCATCTCTTCTGCAAGAATACATTTATTTTGAGAATGAAGGAGAAAGGAAGATGGGTTAAAAGCTATTTCTAAGTCATGATGCATATATGCACCCCACAGAGACTTTAAGATCATACATTAAAGCATGAGAGGAAAATAGGTAAATAAATAAGTAAGGAAAGCCTATTTTGGAGTGAATGCACAATTTTTTACTGTTAGGGATATGTAATCAGCAAATTTGGGAGACCTCTGTTTAAACATCTAACCTTGCAAATTGAGTTTTCTGCTTTCTTGCATGCTGGGCAAAAAACCAGAATTTGAGATGCTGAAAAGTATAGTATTTTGTTATTGTAGAAATTAAGGAAAGGCTTCTACCCGTTATAAAGTGAACCCTGTTAAGTATGATCACGTCTTCCTTTCTACTTGCTCTTCTTTGTACTCCCATACCGAAACCGAGAGTCAGTGGAAGGAAAATGAAAATTAAGAGCACTAGATGATCTTCCATTTTCATTACTGGAACATGCATGGTTGTATGCAGGGGGAGATATGTACTTCTATACCAGTCCTTCAAAAGGCAAAGAACTAAATAAATGTGTTCAGTACGTGGCAAATGCAATACATTTTCTGAAAATAATTCTTTTGACAAAAGCAGCACAATAATAGAAATTAGCTGTTTTGAAAATAATTATACATACAAAACTGGAAACAAAAACATCTTGAGCTTAGGGCTTTCATTAATTTACTTGGAAGAGAAATAATAGAGTTCATAGTTCAGGATTTCTTTGTGTTACTAATAGCATACTATCTTAAAATGAATAAAAGAAATACAAAAGAAGAGTTTCATCCTTTTCGTAGTAGACGCTTTTATGAAAGCATTGCCATTTTCTTGAGTACTCAGTGTTTGTCCATCCAGCTCTGTCAGTGCTTAGTGCTTATTCTTTTTCATCTTTTTTGATGGTAGTGAAAATTATAGTTGTGTTTCTCGTTTCTTTTTGTAGAATCTGAATTTTACAGGGTTTCGAAAAATCCTTAAAAAGCATGACAAGATCCTGGAAACATCTCGTGGAGCAGATTGGCGAGTGGCTCACGTAGAAGTGGCTCCATTTTATACATGCAAGAAAATCAACCAGCTTATCTCTGAAACTGAGGTACGGTGATCTCATGTATTTACCACATATTTTCAGTTACATGTTTTGTTTTTAGGAAAGCAATTCCTTATTTCTGTTATTTTGTAACTTGTTGGTAGCTTTTAATATATGTGCCCTGCTTGTGATTTTGTTTTCCTTTTCTTTATCAGTATACATTTACCAAAAAGTTATCAGAATGTGTCATATATACATGGTACAGAATTATTTGTGCATCACTCAAGTTAAATATAACCTAACCAAAATTTAATTTGTCTTTCTAGGCTGTAGTGACCAATGAACTTGAAGATGGTGACAGACAAAAGGCTATGAAGCGTTTACGTGTCCCCCCTTTGGGAGCTGCTCAGGTTAGTATTTGCTTTCAGTACTTTGTTTGATTTCACCTATTTAATAATCAACACAATATTTAGCTGGTTTCATTGCCTTAAAAAATTTTCAGATAGTTTATAAGTAGTTGCTACTTATTTTATTAAATATTATATGCTATATTTTACTTCATTGGTAAATTGTGAATTATTGGTCTTTCACCTTTCTCTATTCTTATACTGTATTTTCTCTCTTGTTTATTCTTATTGACCTGCTAACTTCTTGGTGTCATCAAATGATTTAAGATGTGATTTTAAAAAAATTATATGGTGGCTTCAGATATGCTGGATTGCTATATAGCTTCATTCTAAATGCGTCAGTTATACCAAAAAAGCATTTATTAAATGATATCTACACAGTAGTTATAGAAAAGAAAGCATTTATTAAGTGATATCTTCTGTGTCATAAAACAGTTCTCAGTAAATACAGAAGGAACTAAGCCATATAAAGTATGTTTTCAGACAACAGTGAAATAGAAATCAGTAACAGAAATAGCTTCCATAACCTAATGAAAGGCATCTATGAAAAAAAAAAACAAACCAAAAAAAACCCTCTACAGTTACTATCTTTCTCAATGGTAAACACTGAATGCTTTTTTCCGAAGACTTGGGGCAAAAAGGGTATTCACTTTTAACACTTCTGTTCAACATTGTACTAGAGGTTATAGCCCGTGCAGTAAGGGAAGAAAAAAGAAATAAAAGGCATTCAGAGTAGAAAGGAAGAAGTAAAATCAGTAGGGTTTTGCCAGTGACTTGATGATCTATGTAGAAAATCTAGTGAATCTGTAGAATAGCTACTAGAACTAATACATGAGTTTAGCAAGGTCTCCAAATAAAAGACTAATATGTAAAAGTCATTTGTATATCTACATACTTGCAAGAACAATTGGAAATAAAAAAATGTTAAAGCAGTGCTATTTATAATACCATCAAAATATACAATGTTTAGTTATAATTCTGACAAAAGACATGTAAGGCCTTTACATTGAAAACTACAAAACACTGCTGAGCAAAATTAAAGACTTGAATGAAAGAGATGCCGTGTTCATAGGTTCATTGCACAAACCCAGTATTTTGAAGATACATTGTTTCTTGCTGAGGTGATCTGTAGATAAAATACATTCCAGCTCAGAAATCTCAGAAGACTTTTTTGTTTTGTTTTGTAAAATTGGTAAGCAGATTTAAAAATGTATATGCAGCCAGGCACAATGGCTCATGTCTGTAATCCCAGAACTTTGGGAAGCCAGGGCAGGTGGATCACTTGAGGCCAGGGGTTTAAGACCAGCCTAGCCAACATGATGAAACCCCATCTTGACTAAAATACAAAAATTAGCCAGGCTTGATGGCACATGCCTGTAACTCCAGCTACTTGAGAGGATGAGGGACAAGAATCACTTGAACCCAGGAGGTGGAAGTTGCAGTGAGCCGAGATAGAATAGCCAAAGCAGCTTTGGAACAACTAAATTGAGGGATTAACGTTACCTTATGAAAGCTTATTAAAGCCATGGTAAGCAAGAGAGTTTGGTAATAGTGTCATAGTAGGCAAATAGATCAATGGACCAGAATAGAGTATACAAAAATAGACTAACATATTACAACAGATTTTTGATACAGATACAAAGCAGATTAATGGAGAAAGATAGTGTTTTCAACTAATGATGCCAAAACAGTTGAATTACAGATACCAAAAAAAAGAGCTTTCATCCATACGTCACACCATACAGTTCTAAAATGTACCATAGTCCAAAATGAAAACTGAAAACTATAAATTTCTAGAAGAAAATATAGAAGACAGTCCTACTGACTTTGGATTATGCAAAGATTTCTTAGAAATGACACCAAAACTACCTCATCAAAGTTAAAAACTTATACTCTTCAAAAGATACATTGAGAGACTGAAAAGAAAAGCAAGAGACTAGCAGAAAATATTTACAAAACATATCTATTAAAGGACTTATGTTTAGAATATAAAAAGAACTCCAATACTCAATAGAAGGAAAACAAACCAACCAACTTTTATAAATGGGCAAAAGACCTGAACATTTCTTCGCAGAGGTACAGGTGGCAAATTAGCATGTAACAGAATGCTCAATATCATTAGGCATTATGGAAATGCTAATTAAAACCACAGTAAGATAATACATTCTCTGTTAAAAGAGTAATCGTACTAAATGATGGAGGAATAGGAACTCTCTAATACGCTGTGGTGAAATATAAAATGTATAATGAATGAACACATTTGAAAACGGTTTAGCTCTTTCTTAAAAGTGTACACCTACCATATGATCTAGCTATTACACTCCTAGGTGTTTACCCAAGAGAAATGCAAATATATGTTTATATAAAGACTTCTACACAAATGTTCACAGCATCTAAACAACCCAAATATCTGTCAGTAGGTGAATGGATAAACAATTTGTGATATATCCATACAATGAAGAACTATTCAGCAATAAAAATGAATAACTGATTGATAAATCTCAAATTAATTATGTTGAGAGAAAGAAAGCCGAAAAAAAAGAGTACCTACTATATGATATCAGTAACCAAAGACTCCAGAAAAAACGTCAAACAAATAAATAGTGACAGAAAGCAGATCAGTGATTGCTTGTGAATAGAGTGGGGTAGGGTAGGCTGGGAGGAAAGGATTACAAAGGCACATGGGTAATTCTTGGGAGTTGTGGATATGTTCGTTGTCTTGATTATGCTGATGGTTTTGTCGACGTTTATACAGTATCAAAACTCATCAAATTGTACGCTTGGAATATATACAGTTTATTGTATTTAAATTTAGTCAGTAAAGCAGTTTTTAAAAAGCATAAGCATATTATTGTCAGACTCCTTGAATATAACTAGAAAAAATCTTAAAAGCATCCAGAGAGAAAAGACACAAATCCTCTACTTTAAGTATGTGCAATTTATTTATGTCAGTTATTTTTGAATAAACTTTTAAAAATTTATTTCAAAAAATTAAGGTGTGTAGGAATGCCTGTAGAGATGGTAAAGCTAAAGAAGACCTGAAAATGGTTATCTCTGGTGAGGTAGGAAGGTTTTGTGATCAGGGAGGAATAGGGACTTCAAAGTTAATGGAAATGTTCAGGTTCTAAATATGGATAATAGTTATAAGTTCACTGTATTATTCATTCTAACAGTCCAAATAAATTACATACATTCTTTTGTATATATGATAAACAATTTTTAAAACTAAAGATAAGTTTTTCTCTTTGGAAAAGACAAATAACTATCTTTTGGATGCTTTTAGTCAGAAACTAACAATACAGTTAAAATCTGTTACTCTATTAGTAAGTAATTATAATAAGATAGGGAATCTCAACGCTTTGTTTTTGAATGTTTTTAGGAAACAAAATATCTGGGATGTACTATCATCTCTAACAACAAAAATTTTTATAACATTCATAGCAAATATTTAAGTCTATAAGATTATCTGTCTCTGTTCTTCATCACCTTACATTTACAGTCTTAGGTGCTTTCTATTACTCATTTTAGAAAACAGGAATTTCAAAAATTACTTTCTAAATATGAAATTAAATTATAATAATATTTTTTAAATTACATACTCTTTAGATTTTGATATACCAGTCTCTTAAGAACCTCTAGTATATCTTGAAAAATTCAGTTTAAATTACCCCAATATGGGCCGTGCACTGTGGCTTACACCTGTAATCCCAGCACTTTGGGAGGCCAAGGCAGGTGCATTGCTTGAGCCCAGGAGTTTGAGACCAGCCTGGGCAACACAGTGACACCCCATCTCTACAAAAAATATAAAACTTAGCTGGGTGTGGTGGTACGCACGGTAGTCCCAGCTACTCTGGAGGCTGAAGTGGGGAATCGCTTGAGTCTGGGAAGTCGAGGCTTTAGTAAGCTGTGATCGCACCTCTGCACTCCAGCCTAGGTGATACAGCCAGACCATGTCTCAGAAAAAGAAAAAATGACCTCAGTATAATAATGTAAGTAAGTATTATCAGAAAGTAAGCATTCTTGTTTCTAATTATGTAATTAGAGATGATATACCAAATGTGCAAACTCTGAGTAATACTGGCTTTAAAAATTTAGAGATATATACATTATAAAAATGTAATTGCATCTTAACTCTCTCCTATTTACAAAACTTAGCGTGTGTGTGTGTATATATATATAGATAGATAGGAAGAGAGAGAGAGAGAGAGAGAGAGAGAGAATAATTCGTTAGTATCTGTTGGAGATTGGTTCAAGGATCCTGTGGCTATCAAAATCCATGGATACTCAAGTCCTTTATAAAATGGCATAGTATTACATATAATGTGCACATCCTCATATTCTTTAAATGATCTCTGGGTTACTTAGAAAACATAATACAATGTAAATACTGTGTAAATAGTTGTTACACTCATTGTTTTTATTTGTACTGGTGTTTTGTTATTTTTTTTTTTTTTACTGGTTTTTGTTCCTGAGTATTTTAAATCCACAGTTAGTTGATTCCTTGAGTGTAGAATCCACATACTATAATTTAATGCCTCAGATTATAATCTTGCTTATTTCATGACACAGATTTCTGTAAAAGAACTCAATTAACTGGCAACTTGAATTGTATTATAGTATGATGAAGGCTGATTGACTGGCTCAGATTTATAAAAATTTAGAACATAAAGTATTATTTTCATGGTAGAACTTTGAGACTCATTCTACTATTTTATAACAGCATATAATAAATACGATCAGTGTTTTGTCCTATGTTCAAAGTGCTGTTTTTCTATCCACAGCCTGCACCAGCATGGACTACTTTTAGAGTTGGCCTATTTTGTGGAATATTCATTGTACTGAATATTACCCTTGTGCTTGCCGGTAAGTAGTTTAAATTTTGAATTAATTTATTCTTACTAATATACCTGTGTCATATTCTGCCCCTCGGTTAAGGAATTATGTGTATAGCTACCAAAGCTACTGAAAGATAAATCTATCAGGACTAAGTTTTTTGTCCTTATAAATGATGTGTGTTTCTTTTAGTTGTTTGTTTTATTGGAGTTTTTTCCCCATTTGGGTATGGTTATTCTCTAAAACATTGCTAGTGTGTGACCTATTTTTCTTCATCATTTTCCAGTTTTCATATATAACTTCTATCTAGTTTTTCAGAGTTTATCAAAATCCTTGGCACTCTTGATAATAGATGAAGATAAATAATGTTACAAAATTAATTCACTGAAGTTCATTCACTTTGCTTACTGGAGTCCCTCTCACATCCTTTTCAGAACCTACTTACAATTACTTTACATATAGAGTTAAGAAGCTTGGTTATATAATATCCTATTCTATAGAAGTAAAAACAATTAGAAAGAGATAGGAAGGATTCCTAGAAGCAGCTGCACTCCCAACATCAAGAAATGATGTAACAGCAAAGGAAGCATAATCTTACCAAATCTCCGCAAAGCATTTGACATACCCCGCAGTAGCATTTGACATTATCAGTCACCACTTCTTCAAACTCTTTGTTTGATTGGTTTTTCTGGAGAAACCACACTCTGCTTGTTTTCCTGTTAAATTTTACTGGCAGTTTGTTCCCAGTCTCCTTTGCTAGCTGTGCTTTTCTTTGTGACATCAAAATGTTGTGGTATAGTGCTAGGCTCAATCCTTCAATCGCCTGTTTCTATATTTGTTTTCTATCTAGGCAATCTTATCCATGCCTGTGGCTATAAATACCATCTATATGCTAATGACTCCCAAGTGTATGTCCTCTCTTCTAAAAGATGTCAGCTTAGCTAGTTGGATGTGTCTAGTAGACATTGCAAACTTACACGGACAAAAGATCCCCTGATTTTTACCGCCAAATATGCTCTCTCTTCTATCTGTCATTACCTTTCATCCATTTCTCAGTCCAGAATCTTTTAGTTTCTCTTTTATCTCATATTTCTTCTTCAGTCCATCAGCAAATCTTGTTGGTCTATCTTCAAAATACGTTCTACGTGTGTTTATTACTCACCACCTTGGCCAATGCCACTCTTGTCTAAGCAGCCATTTCTTGTTTGGTATATAACAGCCTTCTGGACTTGGTCTCCTTGCATCTACTTTTGCCTCCTTATAGCTACTAATATCTTTTGTTTTTTTCCAGTGTAAGTTAGATTATGTCACTCTCCCATTCGAAATTGATTCATGGTTACTGTTACAATAAAATTCAAACCCCTTAGCATTGCCTACAAGAACCTACAGGATCTTACTTCTGAGGGCCTTTCTGATACTATATTGTGTCATCCTCCCCCACAGTTAGTTTCACTTTGTTTCCAGCCACACTTGTGTTCGTGTTTCTTAGACACATCAAGCTCATTCTAATCTAAGAGCCTTTGCAGCTGCCTAAAGAGCTCTTCCCCAAAATGTCTACGTAGCTTATTCCCTCACTTCATACATGTCTCTATTCAAATGCTATATTCTTAGTAAGTGTTCCCTGATCACCCAATACTAAAATAATCTATTCTGTCCCTTGAGCCTACATTAGTTTTCTTCAGAGTACATATGCTTACGTGACATTATATATTTATATTCCTTGTGATCTGTTTCCCCACTGGAATATAAATTTTCTTGATGCCTAGGCTTTTGTCTCTCCTGTATCTCTAGCACTTAGAACACTGCTTAGAACATAGTAGGGGCTCAAAAAATATTGGGGAAGTTTCAGTGGCAGGAAGAGAAGGATAAAGATGAAATTTAATGATACTCAGAAAACACATGCACAGACCACAGAAAAACAGACACAAATCTCAAAGTTTCTTATAGTCAAGGACTTTTAATGATAGATAACTTTGGTATACCTAAGGGTCTGTGTAATTGTGCTCGTAATGATAACTGAATCATTAATAAAGGGTTAAATTTTGTTCAGTGAAGTCTGCAAGGAAACATTAGGTTGGTGTAAAAGTTGCCATTACTTTTAAAGGCAAAAACCGCAATTACTTTTGCATCAACCTGTATGATTTAGAAATAGATGTTATTATTTGAATATCCATTAAATTCCATTTCAGACTTTTAGTAATCATAATAATGCCCAAATAAGGAAGCTTTATGTCACTGTCATACTTACTGTTCTTGATTGCAGGGACTTTGTGTTGTTGCATTTTAAGTTCCTAACACATTGTCAAGCTTATAGCAGATGTTTGAGAGATAATTTACTGAACTAATTATTATTATTCCTCATAAACATTCTTCTTAAAACTATCAGTTGTATATTATGAAATGATAACCTACATTGTAATGGCTTTTAGAGAGCATATGAATTTTATCTGTTAACAGTGTGTTTTCATTTGTAAGAGTTCTTCCCACCAATTACTAAAAATCAACTCTAATAGTTATTGTCAACCCTAAGTTTATGATAGAGTGTTGATATAATTTATGATCATATTTTAATCTGGTTCTGTTTCCTTAGGTGAATACAGTCTACTTATATAGAATATATGGAAATAATAAAATTTTAAAAACCTAGATATATATTATCAAGCTAGCTACTGTGGAAAAAACAAAAGGCCCGCCTGGGTTTCAATCCCAGCTCCACTGTTAGTTAGTTAGTTGTTTTGGCTTTAAAGATATTATTTAACTTCTCTGAAACAGTTTCCTCATCTGTTAAATGAGCTTAACACCTTAAATTTGCAGAGTTGTTTAGAATTTATTCCTTCGTTCAACAAGTAAATTTTATGTGTCTAAGGGTTGCTTGATGCCCATAAGTCTTAAGATAAATAAGAGAATCTCTTTCCTTATGAAATTTATTATGCCAGGAAGATAGTTTAAGGCATATATTAAAGCAATATACCGCAAGGTAGAAGGTGTTAAATATTCTAAGCAGTTCAAAGAGACAAGTGATTACTTTTAAATGAGAGCATCAGGGAAGACTTTATGGAAGAAACTATGTTTGTATTAGACATTGGTGGAATGAAAGGCATTTCAAGAGAAGGAGACAGATGAGCAAAGAGATTTAGTTGGCCTGGGCTGAGGATGGAGTGTAGAAGGAGGGAGTGAATTATGAAGGAAAGAACTGATAAATTTGCCAGGTGAAGGGGAATATTAGACGAGGAGGGTGAAAAGATAGCTTGAGACCAGCTCATAGGGATCAGATAAGAAGTGTAAGTAAAACATGCTTGTAGTTGCAAAGTGCTATGTCAACATAAGGTATATATGGTGGGGAGTGTTCTTTCTGTAGAAAATACGTTAGTCGTTTGTGGATGGAATTATTTTTTTAATTTTCAAGATGAGCAGGGTAGTATTATCATCATCATTAAAAAGAGATATAAGAACAAAAGAAATTTCTTCCTTCTTTTTATGTGACTTAATTGAAAAGTTTTATAATTTGAGGTTTTATTTTCTTTAGTATATATAGATTATGTTTTTGTAAGACATTCTGATTTTTGTGTGTATGTGTGGTTTATGCATTTAGTGTTACGCATTATATTGTCTCATCTCAGAACCTTTCTTTGTTTGATCTTTGTGTGTGTCATAGGGGGAAGGGTTAATATAGTTAAAGCCAGCTGCCTATCTTTATTTATTTCCCACCGGGTGCTTGAAAGATAACAGGGTGGAGAGTCAAAGAGAAACACAGTCATAGTATGCATGTACAAGCATGATTCTCTTTTTCAAACAATTCACATAAAAAAACATGTGCATGATTGCTGTGGTTTCTCAAGGGGACATGACCTAGTGTTTAATGATTTCTCTGAAAATCACATATTTCAGATATTTAATTTCATGAAGATGAAAAGTTGGCTGTTTAGATTTTTTTTTCAAACTTGTTTCTTTTGCAGGTTCCTATTAACATGTATACTTAATTTGGTACAATAACAGTATACCGTGTTTGACTTACTGGTTTGACTGTTTACAGTGGGTATAAGGTGTGAAATAGACTCTGGTACACTAGTGCTAAGAGTACTCATTGTTGCTGTCGCTTTGGAGGATAATTTAGAAGTAGATGTAAAAATTTTAAGTATAATTACTTTGATTAAGCAGTTTTGTTTCTTGAAGTTTATCCTATAAACATACTTGTACATGGTTGCAAAGACATGTATGCCAGGAGGATAGTCATTGCCATTTTGTTTATAGTAGAAAATCCTAGAAACCACTCAAATATTCATAAATTGATAGCTCTTTAAATTATATTACCTCTATACAGTGGAATGCCATGGAGATATTTAAATGAATGAGGTAGTGGTGGGAGTGAAAATGAACACAGCACTTTGGAGGGAGAACTGTTTGGCAGTAATTACCAAAATTGAACATATACTAACCCAGTGGTCCCCAGCCTTTTTGGCACCAGGGACGGTTTTGTGGAAGACAGTTTTTTCACTGGGAGGGGTGAAATGACCTCCGATCATCAGGCATTAGTTAGATTCTCATAAGGAGCACCTAACCTATAGATCCCTCACATGCATGGCTCACAGTAGGGTTTGTGCTCCTATGAGAATCTAATGCTGCTGCTGATCTGACAGGAGGCGGAGCTCAGGTGGTAATGCTGTCTGTCACCTGCCACTCACCCTCTGCTATGTGACCTGGTTCCTAACAGACCACAGACCAGTACTGGTCTATGGCCTAGAGATTGGGAACCCCAGTACTAACCTGTAACCCGATTCTAATAGAAATACATATGTCCACCAGAAGACATGTATGAGAGCGCTTAAGTAATACCGTTTGTGATAGTATCCAGTCATGCACCATGTAATAATGTCTTGGTCAGCAAGAGACTGCATATATGAAGGTGGTCCTGTAAGATTATAATGGAGCTGAAAAATTTCTGTTGCATAATGGATGGCATAACCGTCATAGCATAACACTTTACTTATATGCTTGTGGCAATGTTAGTGTAAACAGACCTGTTGCACTGC